ATTTTCTCAGAAAGTTTTTTCTGTATCCAGGGAAATGATCATATGATTTTTTGTTGGTTTAATTATTAATATAGTCAGTTATACAATAATTTTCCTAATATCGAACCAGCCCTGCACTCCTGTTATAAATCCAGCCTAGTCATAGTTTGTGTTCTTTGTGATACATTGCTGTAGTCTCCTTGCTTATATTTTCCCCATTTGGTATATATATCTTTAGTATTGGTATTAATTCACTGTCTATGGTACGTTTTAGCAAAATGTAGTTTTCCTGCTTATCTCTTAATTAGATCTGTTTTTGCTTTTTCTTTGTCTGAGATCATGATTGCTGCTCCTGCCTTTATTACCTCAGATAAGGCATAATAGGTTCTACTCCAGTGCTTTATTTTAACTCTATGTGTCTCTTTCTTTTTTTGTTTATTCATTTTTTATCTTTGTATTATTTATTTTGAACATTCTTTTGTTTCAAAATTTTGAGTTCCAAACTATCTCTTTCCTTCCCTTACTCACTGAGAAGGCAAGCAAAATGATATCAATTATACATGTGAGATTATGCAGAACATATTTCCATATTATACATATTAGGAAAAAAAACAAGAAAATTATACTTCAATTTTTATTCAGTTCATTAGTTCTCTCTCTGGAGGTGGATAGCATTTTTCATCATAAGTCCTTTGGAATCATCTTGGATCATTGTATTGATCAGAGCAGCCAAGTCATTAACAATTGATCATCATTACATCATTGCTGTTAACTGTCAGTATATCTTGGTTCTTCTCATTTCACTTTGCATCAGTTCATGTAGTTCTTGCAATGTTTTTTTTTTCTGACATTACCTCGCCTCTTCATTTCTTAAGGCACAATAGTACTCCATCACAATCACATACCACAACTTATTCAGCTGTTCCCCAATTGATGAGCATCCCCTTAATTTCTAAATCTTTGCCACCACAAAAAGAGCTGCTATAAATATTTTTGTACGTATAGATCATTTTCCTTTTTCTTTAATCTCTTTGGGGTACAGACTTACTAGTAGCATTGCTGGGTCAAAGATGTATGCACAGCTTTATAGCCCTTTGGACATAGTTCCAAATTGTTCTCCAGAATGATTGGACTAGTTCTGTGTGTCTCTTTCAGTTCCAAATGTGTTTCTTGTAAATAACATATTGTTGGATTTTGGTTTTAATCCATTCTGCTAATCCAATCTGATTTATAGGTAAATTCATCCCATTTATATTTACTGTAATGTGATTGTTAACTGTGTTTCTCTACATACTATTCTTTTTTGCTTATCTATCTCTTTTTTTCCCCAGTCCCCCTCTTTAAGCGTCTGTTTTTATTCTGACTGATTTCTCCTTTAATCTGGTCTCCCTTTTATTCTGCTCTTTCCCTTTAGCCCAGTTTTTCCTGTTTGCCTGTTGGGTAAGATGTGTTTCTCTGTTTGTGTGTATATGTGTTTTCTTCCTTCCTTTAACTAGTTTTTATGCAAGTGAGGTTCAAGTATCATCTGTTCTCCCTGCCATTACCCATCTCCTTGTTGCATAAACTCCCCCCCGTTACCCTCTTCTTGTTGCATAAACTGCTTTTTGCGCACACCATTTATGTGAGAAATAGAATAGAATAGAAAAATTATTCTATTCTAACTCTCTCCTTCTTCTCCCAGTGTATTTCTCTTCCCCACTCATTCCATTCCTTTTTTTTTTCCAGATCATCCAAATACAACATCCATGTCCTCTGTCTAATTACACACCCTCAGTGACCTCTGGTGTTGATAAAGTTCTGAGAGGCTGTATATATTATCTCCCCATATAAGAATGTAAACAGTTTAACCTTATTTAGTCCCTCTTGATTTCTCTCATGTTTCTTTTGACTCCTTTGTGTGTCACGTTTTCTACCCAACTCTGGTCTTTTCATCAGAACTGTTGGAAGAGCTCTGTTTTGTTAATGTTCCATTTTTTTCCCTTGTAGGATTATGCTCAGTTTTGGTGGGTGGGTTATTCTTGGTTGTAAGTCTAGATCCTTTGCCTTCTAGAATCTCATTCCAAGGTCTCCACTTATTTATTGCAGTGGATGCTAAATCTTGTGTTATTCTGACTGTTTCTATGGAACTTGAATACTTTCTAGCTACTTGCAGTATTTTCTCCTTGAAATCTGGATTTTGACTACAACATTCCTGGGAATTTTCTTTTGGGGATCTCTTTTAGGAGGTGACTGGTGGATTCTTTTAATTTCTGTTTTTCCCTCTAGGGCTGAGATATCTAGACAGTTCTATGGTTTCTTGAAATATTATTTCTAGGCTCTTTTTTTTTTGTTTATGGCTTTTAAGTAGTCCAGTGATTATAAAATTATCACTCCTCAATCTATCTTCCATGTCAGTTGTTTTTCCTATAAGATATTTCACATTTTCTTCTATTTTTTTTTCAGTCTTTTGACTTTGCTTCATTATTTCTCGATGCCTCATGGAATCATTAGCTTCCATTTGACCATTTGTAGTTTTCAAAGAGTTATTTTCTTTGGTAAGGTTTTGTACTTCTTTTTCCAAGCTATTAGCTCTCTTTTCATATCTTTCTTCCTTAGCCCTTGTGTCTTTTCTCCATTCTTTTCTCCACTGCTCTCACTTGATTTTTAAAATCATCATTTAGTTCCTTCTTTAACTCTTCTAGGAATTCATGTTGGACTTATGTCCAAGCTGCATTTGTAAATTTTTTTTTGGTTGTTTTATTCCTTTCTTTGTTTATATCTTGAGCTTCTTTATCACCATAATAGCTCTTTATGGTGTTATTCTTTTTTTGATTACTTATTTATCAAACCTACATCTTGACTTTGGACTTTATGTTACTGCTGGGCTTTGTACAGTTCTGGGTGTAGAAGGGTGTCAGTCCTGAGCTTCTGTCTTCTTATAAACTTTTTCTGCTTTCGAAGCTCTGTCTGGGGACCTACAAGCTTTTGATACTTCCAAAGTGGTATTTTCTGGAGAAAGGTCTGTTTACTGCCCTCTTGGTCTGAGTTCTGCCAGTACCTGACCCAGGTTTGAATCTATTAGCTTGTTTCTGGTTGGGAATTTCAGCTGATTGCTTTTCAACTCAGCCACTATTGTCCTGCTGGTAGTCTTTGCCAATTCAGAGTAATTGAACTACCATCCCCTCTTTGTTCTGGGATGCTGTGTCCCACTCTTGGGCTCAGAGACACACAACTACCACGTGCCTCTAGGTACTTGTTCTGTGGTCAGTCACAGACAGGGCCAGCACTCACAATTATTCCTTTCTGCCCTGGATCTATGACCTAGCACTGTGTGGTACATAACAGTGCTGCCAGAAAGCACCTGTTCCTATCCCCAGAGGTAGTAAAAGTGGGAATTAATTTGAGGGAAAGAGGCTGCAGAGATAGTAACTCTGTGTGTGTGTGTGTGTGTGTGTGTGTGTGTGTGTGTGTGTGTGTGTGTGTACTACTTAAACAGACTATATGCTTTTGAAAGCACAGTGTTTGTATTTCTCTGTTGTCCCAAACAATTCACTCAAATGCTTATGGATTAATTGATTCCTTTTATTTTTAACCATTGGACAGAGAAGAGTTAGCATAGTCCTACTTGTCATAGAACTGACATTTAAATAGAGCTTTTTAAGGTTTGCAGAGTGCTTTAAAGGCATTATCATATTTGATCTGATTGGAGTTGATCTTCATAATAATTCTGTGGTATAGACATTAAATATTATGAGGCTTACAAAGGTTGTGACTTTTTCAAGATCATGCAGCTAATAAATTTTTAAAGTGGGATTCAAATCCAGCCCTCCCTAACTCCAAGTCCAACATTATATCTGTTAAACCACATTACAGCTCAGTTGTCCAGTGTTAGCACCACCTTGATGTCTTTCCTTCGAAATTCAGGACAGGGAAAACCTTTGTTTCTTCAACCTTTTAATATGGTAACCCACTTAATACTAGATCTCTTTCACCTATGTATAGGTATCAACATTTTATTAGAGATTTACAAACACTATTCCTGAGGTTCTATATTACTATCTCATCATCAATACCTAGAAATTTGTTTTGTTTTGGTTTTGGAGGCAATCAGAGTTAAGTAACTTGCCCAGGGTCACACAACTAGTAAGTGTGTGAGCCTAGATTTGAACTCAGGTCCTCCTGACTCCAGGGCTGGTGCTCTATCCACTGTGCCATCTATCTATCCCCATACCTAGAAGTTTTCAAAGCTAAGACTTGAGAAGACTATTTCTTGAATTTTATGTTAACAAAAGGGAATTTATTTATATATGTGTATATATAGAGTGGCTTAGAAAATGTAGAGTTCCTCTGGGCAAAGTATCTGTAAGATTCAAGAAGCAAATAGCATTCCAAACACTCGATGCTGTATACAGAGTTGAATCTAAGAGTTTCTGCATCTAAGGTACCTAAATACCACAAAACACATTTAGGGCAAGCTCACCTTCAGTTGGCAAGGATGATGCAGAGTTATTACTGAGAGAGGATAGAGTGGAGCAGATGAGCTTTGCTTCATCTCAAAATCTAATAGCCTATTTTGAAAATTATTTTTGCCAGGGGCAGCTAGGTGATGCAGTGAATAGAGCTGTGGCCTTGGAGTCAGGAGGACCTGAGTTCAAATCTAGCCTCAGACACTTAACACTTACTAGTTGTGTGACCCTAAGCAAGTCACTTCACCCCAAATGCCTCACCAAAAAGCAAAAATAAAAAATAAAAAATTTTATTTTTGCCGACTGGGTACTAAGCTCTATTATTTTTTTGCTGCAAAACTATAAGTATTATTGGTGCCCTCTAAATTCAGTGCTCCATGAGAAAATTCTGGTTGCCTCATTCTAGGTTTTGTCTCTGGCATAGTATCTCCTGTTTTCCTGGGTCTCTATCACTTCCTTGGAATGTAAGGAAGTAGCCTTTTCCTTCTGATAACTGCAAGTATCCCCACCCTGAGTGCCCTCTAAAGTATATAACTTTGAATTTTTTTTAATATGACTTATGTATTTTGTGACCAGGCACCGCATATTGCATTAAAAAGCTTCCACGCAATCCCTTCAAGGAAGAAGTTATAGGAGAGGAAGAGCAAAAATATGTTTATGTGAAAGATGGAGATGTTATTAATACAGAAGGAGCCACTCTCAGGTAAATACTTGACTGTGTGTGAGTTGTTTAAAAATCACATTCTACCCAAGGACAACGAAAACCTTATCAAAGCCAAGTTCTATCCACCTACTTTATACAGATCTACAATTCTATAATCTGTTGTGCAGAAAAGTAAAGTTGAATTAATGAGTACCTCTCTCTTCTAGTCCAGTGTTCTTCCAACTATATGAATCACAAAATGTGGTTTAGTAGGATCTTCCAAGGGATTATGGGTGGGTTTCTTATAATTATTTTCTTAACATACTAATGTTGATGCTTTTATTTCTCACATGAAATAGTCATGTACTGATTCTGAATAAAAAATAGACATTACTTTGATGATAAGGCAGTATATTGGGCTGTTCAGGCTGAGCCTAATACTGTACCTGCATCATGACAGGATCCATATATTTGAGTCCTGGTCTTCAGTTTTGCAGGTTCAGAAACTCAAATTTATTTTAACCATTATAAGTCACAGCATGACTTAACCTAGGTTAATCAAACTCAAAATCAATCAGGCTATATAACCTAAACTTTTTATTAATTTTCATTTAAAAATAAAGCTACTAAGTAGACTGGAATATTGGGGTAGGATGGTCAATGCATTTATTTCGTAGTAGGAAGGTCCTCCTAGGAAAACCAAATCAGTATCAGAAAGTTGCTTCCTGAACATAGAATCAGGGCAGAAACAGACATATGACAGTTTAGGACCATCTCATGGAGTAAGAAGTCTTAGACAGATCAGTAGCTCCCAAGAGCATTCGTTATACAACGCTATAGGAACTTACTTTCCTAAAGATGACACTGAATAATCAAGGAAAGATTAAATCATGTTTGGTGTACTCTGTTTAAGAAGTTAGGGGAGTATTTAATAAGTTAGCAAAAAGCTGAAAACAAAACACGCTCAAGAATTGAGAAATGGCTGAAAAAACTTTAGTACATTAAATATTATTGTGGCATAAGGAATGACAATTATAATAAATTCAGAGAAACATGAGAAGTGAACTTGCTGTTCTTTTTTTCTAACTTTTAATAGTATTTTTTCCAATTAACATGTAAAAATGAATGTTCAACATTCATATTTGTATAATTTTGAGTTCCAAATTTTTCTCCCTCCACTCCCCAAGACAGCAAGCAGTCTGATGTGTTATACATGTACAACCATGTTAAACATATTTCCACATTAGTCATGCTGTGAAAGAAGAATCAGAACAAAAGGGAAAAAGCAAAAAAAAGTAAAAATAGCATACTTCAATTTGCATTCAGACTCCATAGTTCTTTCTTTGGATGTGGATAGCATTTTCCATCATAAGTCTTTTGGAATTGTCTTAGATCATTGTATTGCCGAGAAGAGCTAAGTTTATCCTAATTTATCATCACACAGTGTTGCTATGTACAATTATCTCCTGGTTCTGTTCACTTCATTCAGCATCAGTTCATATAAGTCTTTCCAAATTTTTTCTGAAGTCTGCCTGCTCATCATTTCTCATACCACAATAGTATTCCATTACATTCATATACCACAGCTTGTTCAGCCATTCCCCAATTGATGGGCATCTCCCCAATTTCCAATTCTTTGCCACCACAAAAAGAGCTGCTATAAATATTTTTGTACATGTGGGTCCTTTTTCCATTTTTATGATCTCTGTGGGATACAGACCTAGTAGTGGCATTGCCTGATCAGAGGGTATGCACAGTTTGGTTGCCCTTTAGGCATATGAACTTGCTATTCTAATATATAGCATTTCATGTGGCAGACAGCCTGTATAAAGGTTAAGAGAAGGAGATAAAGTGCTATGTGGGAGGGAAAGTAAAGCCAGTTTGGTTGGAAGGTATGGGTAAGGGGGAGTAATGTGAAATAAGTTTCATTTAGAGCTTGCCTTACTTTAGATACATTTTAGTCTTTTTGGTAATAATACTTTATATTCATTTGACATTTTTTAAAAAATGTTTTATTGGTGCTTTTTTTAAAAACACCTCAGGCACTTCCCAATACTTCCCATAGAAAACTCTCTTATAAATAGACAATTAAACAAAGCAGATTGTCCCATCTACAACACCTAACAATGGATGCAAAATTACACACATGTAACCTGCCACTTCTAAGGGTAGAAGTGTATTTCAGTAGCTCCTCTGGAATTAAAATTTGGTCATTGAATTTAATATAAATTTAAATACAATTTTATTCATATCTTTTGTTTCTACAAAGCCTAAAACTCACCCTATCCGTCTCCTACTGCCTCTCAAAAAGCTTGCTCATGTACTAAGTATAGTATGGTTCAAGCATTAGTACAGTATAACAAGGAATTTTTTTAAAAAGCAGGAAGAGGGGAAAAAATCCATAAAAATTATCAATACATCAAAAAAATCTGAAACTATGTACAGTATTCCACACCTATAGACACTCCACTCCACCCTGCTTTACAAAATAGGGGGAGTTGTCTTCTTATATCTCTTCTTTGCAGCCGTACTTGTTCTTTGTAATTTTACAACATTCAATTTCAGTTGATTTATGATTGCTGTTTCATTTACATTGTCATAATTGTTGTATTTATATATTGTTTTCTTGACTCTTTACCTTGCATTATAGTTTATATGTTTTCATATAAAATTTATATCTTTTCGTGCTGTTCTTATATTCATCATATTCATTATTTCATACAGCATCCAATAATCCAACAAATCCAATACAATAAACATGTATTAAATGAGTACCATGTGCCAGGTACTGGGGATACAATTAATAAAAAGAAAGACAGTCCTTGCCCTCAAGGAGCATACAGTCCAAAGGGAGTGGACAATACACAAAATGAGGCAGGAAGTGGGGGGGAGACATTAAACTAAGGGGTTAGGGGGGACAGGTGTGGATTTTGTTCTATGGAGTTGAAAACAGGGCAGCAGAGGCAAAGTGGAGTGATACTTCATTGTATTAATTTACCAGAATTTGTTTGGATGGCTAGATGGCATATTGGGTAGAGTACCCAGCCTGGAATCAAGAAAATTCCTTTTCCTGATTTCAAATCTGGCCTCAGACACTAGCTGTGTGACCCTAGGCAAGTCATTTAACCCTGTTTGCCTCAGTTTCCTCATCTGTCAAATGAACTAGAGAAGGAAACAGCACACCACTCCAGTGTCTTTGCCAAGAAAACCCCAAATGGGGTCACAAAGAGTTGGTCATGACTGAAATGACTGAACAGCAAACCACAATTTGTTTAGCTGTTTCCCAGTTGATGAACGTCTTTGTTTCCACTTCTTTGCTACCATTTATATAATATTTTAAAGCTTTCAAAGAACTTTCACATACTTTATAGGATCTTCACAATAGCTAGTCCAATCAAGCAGAGATTTTTTTATACTTTTAAAGATGGAAAAATTGAAGTCCAAAGGTTATGACTTACTCAAAGTCATATATCTAATATGTACCAGAAGTCGGGACTCAAACCTAGGCCTTCTGACTTCAAATCTAGTAAATATGCTTTCCTCTGATAGGCATGACTACTTCTCAGGAGATGCCTTAGTCTCTTAAACAATTCATTTAGAAATCCTCTCTTAAGGTAGGATAATTGTGCAAAAAAAAAAATCTCCTTTTTTTATTTCTTATTAGCTTCAATTTCGAAGTGTAATATTTTTGGCTCATGTCCTTACATTTTAGGGGTATGCTATCTCTAGACCTATAGCCCCTTCTTATACAAGGACTTCAGGTCTTTCATCAAGTGTACCATTGGTATTCCACTTATGGAGTAGGGGTTGCCTTGGCAAGCAGGTAGGGACAGAAGTAACTGCTTCACCAAGTCCTTTGTCTCTAATTAAAGAGACTGTATAAAAGAAATCACTGCACTTAGCCTAACTCTGAGTAATAATAATGACTAGAAATAATCTTATTTCCACAAGAAGCGTTTAAACGATATCAAAGAGGTCTTAGTTCATCCATCTGCCTTAGACAAAACTAATATTTTAATCTGTCCTAGAGAAAGAGGCTTTCTAGGTTCCAGCATTGTGGAAAATATCCACTGCCCTTCATTTACTACTTGAATAGTAGCAATATTTAAATTGTACTACATACTATTAAAATTTAATATGACATGCAGTCATCCCATTTTTAATAATTGCATTATAAAGAGATCCCATCATGTTAAGTTTATTTAATTTAATGTAGATTACAATGGTAGGTGAGTATGTGTCTTGCTAATTTTTGTACCTGTAAATTCCTCCCTACCCACGCCTCCACCCCTGTTAATTAAAGGTTTCATAAATAAGAAAGAAAAATGTTTTTTTAAGTTCTGACATTGGCTTTTTTACTGGAAAGAATACTGTATTTTAATTCAGGAGACCTGAATTTAGATCTAAACTTTGATGCTTATTACTTTTAACCATAAGCAAGTCATCAAAATTCTCAGCTTGAGTTTCCCTATGTTTAAAATGAAGATAATTCTGCTTGTACTACCTACTTCACAGGGTTGTTGTAGAGGAGTACTTTGTAAACCTTGAAGCATGCTTAACTGTTAAGAAGTAGTAGTGGCAGTGGTGGTGGTGGTGATAGTAGTAGTAGTAGTAGTTACATGGCTGCTGCTCATACTACAGCTTCTTGGAACCACAGTTTAGAATTGAGTGAGAGGTGGACACCAAAGGTAGGGAAGCAGCCCTGAAAAGAGTGTGACAAGCCCCTCACACCAGAGGTCCTAGTCTACCATGAGCACCCCGTTCACCTTCTCCAGGTTAAGGTTTACCAACAGGTTTCAGACCCATCCAGTGAGTTAGGGCAATATCTATTCCAAACAGGTAAAGATTCCCCTGCAGAATGGGCAGGTGAGAACAGTTTGTTCCAACAGCCATGAAGGTGGCTAAAGCAGGCACTGTGAAGCACTTAGAGCTTTGTCAGACATCAAAGACACCACGGGCATCCACGGCTTCTCAGACCATCACCAGTCGTCCTGACTTTTGTCTTGCCACTGGATTTTGATGACTCTAGAAAAGAAAGAGAAGCTGACAACTTTGTGCAACCCTGTTTCACTTAAATCCAATTAACTCACAAGTCAACACATCATCCCCTGATGTCACTGATCCTCTTCAAAATGAAGGATGAACAAAAGTAGTATTACATGTGACTCTGGGAAGGTATAATGGGAAGCCAACCTGAAGAACTAGGAGCCCTCAGAGTGGAGAGCAGGGAAGTGTATAATATAGCCTTTTTTTTTTTTTTTTGGCAAACTCAGGGGGGGAAAAAAGCCTCTCAACAAGTCTCCATGCCTCTGAATATCACCTTGCGTTTTATTAGTAGTAATAGCAACAATAATAGCTGACATTTATAGAATTCTTTAAGGTTTTTCAAAGTACTTTATGTGTGTTATCTCATTTGTCTTCACAGTTACCCTGAGATAAGTACTACCAGTATGTTTTTCATAGTATATAGCCATAGACTTAAACCTGCCTTTTCAGAACTTTTAAAAATCTGTTCTCATACAGTCTAGCATAAATGTCTGATCATGCTTAAAGAAATTACTATACATATATGTATATTATTATTATATTATATTATATTTTATTTTATTTTATTTTATATATATATATATATAAAATCTGGAATATTCTCACATAACCTCAAGTATTTTTAAGGACACCTAGCAGTTGACTAAATAAGACTGAGGAGATATTTGCTATTGCACATTCTTATGAATCACTCTTCAGTTTCCACTGGATTCAACTGATGTGTACCCTAGGGTTATCCTATGCCACATTTGTCTTGTAAAGCAGAAAATTTGAGTCATATATTTGCAAGACATCAGTTCTGAAAAAAATATTACGTTTCACACTACGTTGGCATCTATATGTTATTTTTCATCTTCATATCACACTTATGTGCAAAATTTTGTTAAACCATCTTACAAAGGGCTTGTTAAATACTTAATAGAATGATTTTTAGTATTTCAGCAAAAAAAGGAAACTCCAAATCATTTCAGTTTCTTAAAAGCCTTTAGGTTTTTGGCAACAGCCTTTAAGATCTTTATAATGTAGTTTTGTTTGCCCATCAGCAATAAAGTTCCCAGAAAAGCTGTCTAGCCAAATAACCTTTATCACTGGGAGGTGTTGCCTCAGGCCCATCTAACCACCATCACCTCTAATAAAATTTTGTCCCAGTGAGGTGTCCCAGCATCAAGGTGACCTGGGATCTCAAGGCTCTATGGAAACAGCATAAGCTCTGACTTGTGCTGTCAAGTTGGAAAGGCTTTAAACATGGACCCAGTAATGAATCATGTGTTTCCTAGCCAGGAACCAGCCAAGCTAAGTTGACCACTAGGTAATGATTTATTTATTCTGCCACAGCAATTCGTGAAGACATTCTCCTAAGAAGTGGCAAGATTGTGTACTATAATTATCCCTTTCCTCATTGTATGAAAGAGAAGATATGACAATGTGATATAGTAGATAGAGTGTAGTAGATAGGGCACTGGACTTAGAGTCAAAAAACCCAAGTTTGAATCCAGTCTCAGACATTCACAAGCTCTGTGATCCCACACAAGTCACTTAACCTCTAAGGACCTCAGTTTCCTTGTCTGAAAAATAAGGAAGTTGTACTCAATCCGTAAGGTCTCTTCCAACTCTAAATTGATAACCCTATGTACACAAAACAATACAAAATGTAGTAAGAATTCAGAAAAGGAAAAGAATGCTCCTGGCTAGGGAGGGGGGGACAGGGAGGGCAGTGTAGCTTATGGAAGAAATAACATTTGACCTGGACTTGAAAACTAATTTAATCCCAGAGGAAGAGGAATAAATCACAGGCAGCTTCAGATCATTGAGTGTTAATGATTAGGACAATAATAATGCTATTAACAGAAGTAGATGATATAGAAAGTCAGGAGTAGGGAGAGGTTTGGGGGGAAATATGTTGAATTTGGTTTTGAATATTTGGGTGTGAAATGAAAATATCTGTGTAAACAGAAATGGGGGTCTGACAGACAAGATGCTAGGGTTGTACTAAAAAGCCAAGAATAAAAATATGTTTTTGTTCACACTTTGGTTGGAAAGGATAAGAGAATTATAGACAAATGGTAGACTTTTTTTATCTGAACCTTTATTTTTTTTAATTGAGCAAGCTAAATGTTGAACTTTTATATTATGTAAATGTTATCAAACCCAGAAAATAAGTGACCAAAGAGCCACAGAGGTTATACAACCACTGCTAACTCTGGGAAAAGAAAAAAAAAACCTCACAATGGTTAGAAGCAAAAATCTTTCTTGATTCCATTAGTGGAGAGAAACTAGACACATGTGCTGAGGTCTGCTCCGATACCAAGGAGATCTCCCCACAGTGAGGCCAGGCCTTGATACGTATAGCAGTAGCTATGCAGTGAGCTGTAGATATGGCAGTGAGGGTGTAACAGCAAAAATGAGCAAAATGCTTGATTCGTAGCAGGGTTTCATAACCAGAACATGGTTCCTGCAGGTACTTGTGCAACTCAGGGACCACTTGGGGCTGATGTGAAACAGTTCTGGGATTTTGCTACTGCAGAGTTCATCCAGAGAGTGAGCACAAAGGATTGTTGTTATGCCAAGCTTGGGGCGCAGCCTGCTTGCTGGGCCTTAGCTGTTCAAAACAGGCTGTTTCCTAATAATTTTTTAAAAAAGAGGAGTGAAAAGAGAGGGGTGGTCTTGGCATGGGAATCCTAGCAACCTATAATTATATGCTCAAAAAAATTCAGTCATTGAGAAGCTAACTTCAATACTTAAAAGATGTATTATTTTATCTGTTCAGGTGAGAAAATGGTCTTTGGGGGCAGCTAGGTGACGCAGTGGATAGAGTACAGGCCCTGAAGTCAGGAGGACCTGAGTTCCAATCTGGCCTCAGACCAAATACTTGACACTTACTAGCTATGTGACCCTGGGCAAGTCACTTAACCCCAATTGCCTAAAAAGAAAAAAAAATGGTCTTTGAGTTGTTATGACCAAAGAAAATTCATCACCTGGTGGCCAACCATCCAGTAATAAGCCTCTCCAACAAAGGCTGGGTTTTGGGAAAGGAACGGTGTTTTCACCTGGCCCACATTTAAAACCTTTCCAGTTTGGCAGAACCTATTAGATCTCAGACTCTACTGCCATACCTTCAACAAATTAGGGACAAGTCTACAATAAGATGAGGCCCTGGGGGGGGGGTATTAAATATATAGAGAGAAATATATAGTTGGATAGATAAAGATATGTATATATGTGTATATATGCACACTTACATCTATATATACCTGTCTAGTTATAGTAAAATTAAATCTTTTCAAAGATGACCAAAGAAGGTGTTTTACTTTTAAACTAAGTAACTTAGCTAAATAAAATATACTTTAATATTTTCATAAAGTGTATATATATATATATATATATATGTATATACACACACACACATATATACACATATATACATATATATATATATATACACACATATATATAGTGTGTGTGTATATATGTAGCTTTGAGGTGAAGAGGATGTCTTAACTAAACCCACTTAACAGTTTAACCAAGCAGAAAGATCAAAGCACAATCTGATTTTTTGCCACACACACAAAAGTCTTCTAATGCTGTCCTTAGTGTCCTTTGTATGAGACTGCCATATAACATAGTGGTATTTTACATACTTCAGTACTTTGCTACTTTGGATGAGGTCCAAGACAGTTGTGAATAGATGTGTAGTGAGGCTTATAAACATATATGTGTATTACTCTTACATAGAATATAAGGACTAGATAATCAGAATTTATACTGAGGATTTATCAAAATGAGATTAATGATATAACAATAAGATACAGGTTATGTTAGACACAATCTTATGTTAGTCAACGAGGTGTTGCAGTGTACTGGATTTGAAGTCAGAAACACCCAAGGAAGTTCAGACAGGCAGCAAGCATTTATTAAGTGCTACTGTGTGCAGGCACTGGGCAGTCCCTGTTCAAAGAGTTCGATTTCCAATGCAGGAGGATACATATAAAGGAAAGAGAGGGAAAGAAAGTACTCCTAGGGCTGGTGTCAAAAGTCCTGACAGTAAGAAGCACCACACAGTCAGGAAGGGAACAAAGCAGGACCTTCCCACAATGGAGGGTCCCACAAAGAACTTGCCAGGGGTAGAAGGGGACTGGCACGGTGTACAATACTCCAGTGAGAAGGTAGCTTTGTCATGGTGTCAAAGTCCTAAGAGTCAGCACAACCAGGAGAGGAAAGAGAGAATCCTGCCTTAGATACTTACTAGCAGTGTGATCCTGGTCAAGCCACTTAGACTTTCAACCTGTTTCCTCATCTGTGAAGTGGGCATAATAATACTCACTTCACAGGGTTGTGAAGATCAAAAGGAAGTAAAAGTAATTTGCAAACTTGAAAATGCTATTTAAATGCTGTTATCATTTTAAGCCTTTTGAGGGCAAAGATAGTATGTTTCACTCTTAGCACTAACCACTGAGTAAGTACTTATACATAAGAAGGCAGAGATCTTAGGCTCATAGATGTCCAACCTGCTAATTTTATAGATGAGGAAACTGAGGCCCAAAGAGGTCAAGTGACTTAGACTAAGTGTCTGAGGTGAAAGTCCAATGCCCTGTTTACTATACCACATTCCCCATACCACATGCAATTGATTCTTTTGGATGGTGACAGTTGCTGATCCCCAAAAGGGTTTTCCAGGTAATGGTATAACTTCCACCTTTAGAAGAAGGTAGTTTCTTTGGTCTTTCCTGAAGACAAGGGTGTGTATTAGTTGATTTCTCATTTTGGCTGCTAACTCTAAGGTACCATGATTGCTTATGACTATTTGTTTCTTTTGTTAACCAGAATTCTATACACACCTGGACACACTGATGATCATATGGCTCTGCTTTTAGAAGAGGAAAATGCTATCTTTTCTGGAGACTGCATTCTAGGAGAAGGAACAACAATATTTGAAGATCTTTATGATTACATGAATTCCTTAGAAAAACTATTAAAGGTTAAAGCTGATCTGATATACCCAGGTAGGCAACTAGTTTCAACTTGTGTACCCATTTGTCAGGTAATGGGGTAAAGTTTTTTAAAGATATACAATAATAAATGTACTTTATTCAATTCCATCCCTAAGAATGTCCCATTTTGTTAAAAATATCTAAAAAGAAGGCTGAGGGGTAAGTAAATGTCTTTCTACAAGCATAAGAGGGTTATAATATATTGATAAAAATACTGAACAGCTCTTGTCAGTTTTCAAAAAGTACAAAGGAAAAAGTCTAACACTGCTAAGAAGTCTGGCTTAAGTCAATATTTCTCAAGTATTTTGATTCCATAAATCCTCTAGGGCTTTATAAAATGAAGCAGAAAGCGAGCTAGATCAAGAGTCAGGAAACTTATTCAGCTCTTTGCCACTTTGAGCAAGTTACTTAATTTCTTTGAGTATCTGTTTTCTCATCTGTAATATGGAGTAATAATATCTGTCTTGCCACCACACACAGTAACTGTGAGGGTTATGGCCCGTAAAAAAAAAATCTATAAATTACTCTCAACCCCTACAAAAAGAAGCCTCATTGTTTGTCTCACAGGTATGTCAACCACCAAACAAGTCTATAACTCTATTTTCCCTTTATCTTAAAGACTGGGAGAAAGGGAATTCTTACAAAAATGATCTAGAAGATAGAGAAGACAGGATCTTATTCTTAAACAGGGCTTTTATCAAACAGCTACTGAGAAGCATAGTTTCTGCCACCCCCTGTAATGCCCTGTGATTCTCCGGCTGCTGACAATGGAGAAGAAACAAGCGAGGAAGGGAGCAGTTAAAAGGTTAATGTGAAGAGAAAGACCAACTTGTTGCAAGTTCCCAAAGTGTCAGACCGTGGAGCAGCATCCTGCCAGTGAGTAGCTAGGCAAGAAAGGATAAAATGGGCAATTACAGCAAAGCTGGGAGGACTTTTGTGAACTGGTGCAGAGCAAAGGGAGCAGAACTAGGAATGATTTATACACTGACAACATAATAGAGGAAAACCTTTAGAATGGTCATCAATGCAGTAATCCAAAAGAATGAAGATCTAACATATCACTTACAGAGCAGTGATGAACTTAAAATGCAAAAAGAGACAGGTGAACACGGCCAATGTAGGAATTGTTTTGCCATACCATGTAGGTATATATTAAGAGATTTCTTTTACAAGGATTTTTGGTTTTGTTTTTTAAATTAGCAAGTCCATTAGCAGGTGCTTATTCTCTAGACCAGGCACTGTGCCAAGTGCCAGGAATACAAATACAAGCAGAAAGAGAATCCTTGCTCTCAAGCTTACATTTTAATGGTGGAAGATAACACATAAAAGAGAACTGAAGGGGGGTGGGGATGGTTGCGAAGGTACTTGGTACAGCAGTATTATAAAGAAAAAATCCAGGAGGGTTGAGAATGCAGGCTAGAGAGGAATGAAGACATGGCTGGCCTGGGCCTACTCTTTAAAATAGAGGGTCTTAGAGGAACCAGCCAATGAGAGGGAGAGGCCCAGAGGGGAAAAGTTAAGTTCTATGTGTAAAATATAATTATCCCTTCCACATTATGACTTTCTCCATCCCAGTTTTAATATATCCCAGGTCAGAATAGGAAATTAAATAGGAATTTTGGAAAAGTTTTACAGAAGCCACAGATGACATGTGAAAGCCAGCAGACAATAGAGAAAAAGTTTAGAAATTCAAAAATGCATAAAATATTTGTATGATATTGTATAGTATCGACATATTTTATCTTTTAATACCCTAATAATGCAGACTTCTTCTCTGGCATGAAGGGAGGGCCAAAAAAATTTTGCACAAATTTTCCATATCATGGGGGCACCACAACCCTAATACCCTTGAAGTAGAAGGAATAACTATAGTTGTAGGAGAAACAAGTAAATTAAAAATATTTAGGAGGAAAAAGATAAGCTCTAGCAAGTGTTTTTATACTCTATCAATATATAGTAAGCCAGGCACTGTACTAATACTGGGGATACAAAAAGAGACAGTCTCTGCTCTCAGTAAAAATCTGAAAATAATGTTAAGATAAAAGACTCTTGGACAAATACTAAAGGAAATTCATAAGATTTAGAGTTAGAAAATATCTTAAAGGTCATCTAGGCCAACCCTTTCATTTTACATATCACTCAAAGCTCCAGGGGTCATTCCCCCTTGCTGACAGGCCTAGGTCTAATCCTGAGGGCCCTATGAGCTCAGATTCTCTCTCTGGTTTATTGATTCTTTCCTGAAATAAAACTTGCAAGAAAATATGAGTAAAGCTTAGATATCATTCAAGTCTAGGTTTCCCTAAATGTGGGTAGTGGTGCTCTCCCACAAAATTATGTAGTGTATGGGTATCCAGTATGTCATCCACCACAGAAAATGCCTAAGATATAAACTCAAGAACAAATATGAAAACATTAGATATTCAAATATCCCATAAGCCTCTACTTCATCCAACTCCACCCATTCTTCAGAAGGTAAAGACACTTTGTGTGAGTGTTGAACAAATACTCCCCCAATTACTTCAAAACAACATTTTACATTCATAACAATAAAATGAAAAATTACCAAGATTTCCTAGCCTCTCATGGCTTAACTTAGTTCTTCAGCTTAAGGCCAGTTCTCCTTGGAAATCCCCTTCTCAGAGAAATACACTGTGAAGGAACTGTTTTCACTCCAGAAGACTAATGTCTGACTCAAATTCAGGGACTCTTGCTTTCTTAGGAACTCAAGAACTTTCATTTTTAGGAACTCATGGTCCAAGAACTCTCTTCTCAGTCTTACCTGAGCCAGCTTTTCCTACAAGTTACTTTTAAGGAGGATAAATCAGAGGAGACCTGGATCAAATTAAGGAATTTCCTAAATAACCTGATAAGTTTATAGGATGTACGATCCTGATCAAATCGAGGAGTTCCCCTGTCAAATAGATGAGATTATAGAGCTTGGGCCATTGTTTGCTGGCAAATGATGGAACACAAGGAACTCATTGATTGGCCGATAGAATATCAGGCACACTTCATGGTCTATTAAAACAAGTTGTCCTCAACCCCTGAAACTTTTTTGTTTTATTGTAAACTTATCAAAAAACTAATTATTAACTTAATTATCAACAAATACATATTTCAACATATAAAGAACAAGAAAAAATCGTTAGAGAAATTGAACTGTTTTGTAGAGTTTGTTTTTTTAGAAAGTATATATATATATGCACATATATAAAATTTAGCAAGGTAGTAACAAAGCTACTCTGTGTCCCATTCTGTGCCATTTTGTTTTCCTCTGTGCTTCTCTTACTAACCTACCATCCTGTTACCTCTTGGAAAGGTGAAGCTTCTCTCCTCTACCCACCTTTAGCAAATATGTATCATCCAGCAAAACAATGGCCGTGCCTGAGAATGCATATCTCATTCTGCATCCTTGGTTCATTACCTCTCTGCTCAGAGCTAAGAGGTAGATTTCACCAGGAATCTCTTGGAAGTCACTATTGATTCGGTGTTACTGAGTCCAGGAATACAGAGAGGGGAGTAAGACTACAAAGACTAGATTTTGTCAGCATAGGGAACACCTAGACAAGAAACTCCCTCTGCTAATAAAGATTGATAGCCTCTCCAACTTAGGATCTTAAAAGAATAAATGTGTTGCCTGGGGTCAGAGTCAGTACGTTGTCATTTCTCTTGGCACAGTAATAGTACATTCATATGTGAAAATTTGTCCAGCTTTTCAACCAAATGTTGGGTACTATTTTGTTTCCAGTTCTTCACACTACAAAAAAATGCTGTAGTAGTTCCTATACATATAGGTTAAGATTTCAAAATAGTAATTGTGGGAGAGGTTGTGAGGGAATGGGCTCATAATGCACTGTTGGAAGAGCTATTCAACAATTCTGGGGGGCAGCTAGATGGCGCAGTAGATAAAGCTCCAGCCTTGGAGTCAGGAGGACCTGAGTTCAAATGTGACCTCAGACATTTGACACTTACTAGCTGTGTGACCCTGGGCAAGTCACTTAACCCCGATTGCCTCATCAACAAAAAAGAAAAAAAAACAATTCTGGATAGTCTTTTGGAACCATATCCCTCCCTTACTTTTCTTTCAAAGATCCTGTCACTGTCTATTTCCAAGTGGGATTTCTCTTCCGCCTAATCCTTTATAGAATACAATGCAACTTATAATTTTCCCCCTATTTTCCCAATCCTGAAGGAAGCATATAGTCAATTTGTATACAGATGCTAAAATGAGGTCTTTGGATACAAAAAAGACTAAAGCATTAGTCATCAGTATTTCACTTCAGAAAATTTACCTCACTCAACCTCTCCTGAATAGTCAACCTTAGGGCAATGGCTCTGCACAGAAGAGCAGGATGAGACCAGGCACAGGAGGTAGTTGATAAAGAGTGGGAATGGGGAAGGGCAGGCCAGGACATTGAGTCTATGATGATGTGTGCTGGGGCTGGAGAAATAGCAGTGGTGTTGGAAAAAATGAAGACTCCATTTGCCTTTCCCTTACTTGGTTACTGATTATTCAGCTACTTCAAACCCTGTCATGGATCTGCACCTAACTGGGACATAGAAGCCTCAGGCTTCTAGAAGCAAGCTGAAAGAGAAGGGAAAATGAAGCAGGGGTTCCCAAATTAGGGAAGGAAGGATTTTGAAAAGTTCTAATAGCCACCATTCCAACAAGGTAAATTAATGGTTCCTTAGTAACCATACATGGTAGAGTTACCTACATGCATTTTGTTAAAAAAAAAATGGAAACCAGAAGCTTAGCTACTATGCTTTTTAAATTTTTCATTGCTTATTTCTAGTAAGTATCTTACACAAACTCATTTACATGAAAGATTTTTCTATGGAACTCTGGGAAGTCCCTTTTACAGAATAATCTTCAAGGTGGAAGGGATCTCCAAAGTCCATCTACCATAGCTCACATCTAAACAAGAATTTTCTGTACCTATTCAACAATTCTTCCTATAGCCTTTACTGAGAGTCAGGGACCTCATCATCTCTCTAGATAGTCATTCTACATTTGACAACTTTGATTGTTGACATTTTTCCTTCTATCAAGCAAAAACTGGCCTATTTACAACTTCCTCCTATTCTGTCCTGTGGAGCAGAACAGAAAGGTGGATTTCCTCTTTCTAATATTTGAAGATAGCTGACATGGCCTCCTAAGATTTCTATTCTTTAGACTATTCATCTATAATTCCTTTATCTGAACTTCATGTCTTTTAAATGATTTCACTATTCAAGTCACCCTCCTCTGGACACTCTCCAAGTTAACATTATTCCTAGGATTTGGCACCCAAAAATGAACACAGTATTTTAAATGTAGTGTGACTAGGTCAGAATACAATAGCACTGTCACCATCCTGCCTAATCATGAATACTATACCTCTCTTAACCTAAAATTGCATGTTTGAGGGGCTATCGTATTACAATGTCAACTCATGTTGAACTTTTTCTCTCATAAACCACCACTTACTGATGCTTCTTCCATATTGTACTTGTGAAGTTGATTTCTTGAACCCAAGATTAAGATTTTATATTGATCCTTATTAAATTTAATCTTATTACATTCCATCCTGTGTGTAGCTTTTCAAGACCGTTTTGGGCCCTGACTTTTTTATTCAACATGTTAGCTGTACCTTCTAGCTTTGTGTCATCTGCCAGTTTGATAAGTATGCCATCATAGCTTTTGTCCAAGTCATTGATAAAGATGCCACATCTTGGACATTTATCACAAGCCCAAGATTATAATAAAAATAGTTAACATTTACATAAGGTTTTAAGGTTTGCAGAGAGCTTGACATATATCATCTCATTTCATCTTCACAACAACACTTGGAATTAGGAGCAAGTATTATCCTCGTTTTACCAATGAGGAAACAGAGGCAGACAGACTTTAAGCAACTTGCCCAGAGTCACATAGCTAATAAATATTCAAAGTCTTCCTGACTCTAAATCCTGCACTCTGCCACCCAACTTAACTACAGATCCCTGGGACACTTCACTAGAGACTTTCCAAGCTGACTTTGAATCATTAATAATAACTTCTAGCCCACATTTCTCTGTCTTTTCCACAGGAATAGCACAGGAGGAGACTTTGCTAAATGCTTTTCTAAAATCTAAGTAAACTGTATCTTCTAACCCTCACCAAAAAAAAGTAAATGATGATAATTTGGCATGACCTGTTCTTGATGAAGTCGTTCTGGATTGTTTTGATCCTAATACATTACAGAATTTTTCCAGGAATTGAAGTCAGGCTGAGTGGTTTGTCATTTGGAGACTCCAGTCTCTTGTTCGTGTTCTCTCTCTCTCTCTCTCTCTCTCTCTCTCTCTCTCTCTCTCTCTCTCTCTCTCTCTCTCTCTCTCTCTCTCTCTCTCTCTCTCTCTTCTCTCTCTCTTCTCTCTCTCTCTTTCTCTCTCTCTCTTCTTTCTTCTCTTCTCTCTCTCTCTATTTCTCTCTTTCTCTCTCTCTCTTTCTCTCTCTCTCTTCTTTCTCTCTCTTTCTCTGTCTCTCTCCTCTTTCTCTCTCTCTCTCTCTCTCTCTCTCTCTCTCTCTCTCTCTCTCTCTCTCTCTCTTTCTCACTCTCACGCTTTCTCTCTCATTTAGTGCAGAATTTGACCTTCAGGCTTATAGTATTCATCTCCACCATCTTCAGAGATCCCTGGTAGTGGCTCAACAGTAACACTGCCAGTTAGTGCCTTTCGATGTAATTCATCTAAGCCTAGAGACTTAGAATCATTGAAAGCAATTACTTATTCTCTTCCTACCTACATCCCTATTTGGGGGACAATTTCTCACTATTCTGGAATGGAGGGATGGTATTTTCTATGAAAATAGATTGTTTTTCATTACCTTTTTAAAATGTCACTTTTTTAAACCAATCATGCATTTTAACCTGCATACTACATTATATTCACTTGTTAGTTTTTATCTTGTATGTATTATTTTACATCTTAATGCTATAGGAAAATTACACTCATTGAAACAAATAGGGAGGAACGTCAATATGAATTAGAGAATATTATAAAGAAATGTCTTACTGCCTCCTAAAGAACTCAAACTAGGTTAATGAGTTGGTGCTTAGACCATGCCTATTTTAATAAATAGAACAACTTGTTCTATTAATATAGAAATTGTACATCTGTGATTTAGGCCTCTTGAAAATATTTTGTTCTCATGTATTTTAAATATCTTTCCTGTAGTCTGTTGTGTAACCAATTAATTTGTTTTCTTTATTTAGAAATGGTTTATGAAACACAACAAATACCAAATTGCTTAGACCTATCCAAATTTCTAAATTAGTAAAGTTCAAATATGAGGTATTGCCTTATGAGTTATTTTAACAAATCTCAGTCACTGATAAGGAAATATGATTTTACATTCTCATTATTCATTCTATATTTATTGCTTTTAATGTACATAAGTACATTTTTACATATTTTACTTTAACATAATTCTGTTCTTTTAGATTATTCTTTAAAATGTATTATAATTTTATAGCAGTCAGAAAGATTCATATCTCTTAGAACTATGATAGGTTGTTTCAGGACATCTAAAATTCTTTTAAAATTGGTTGAATAAATAAGTTCTTTTTATCTAAATGGTTTGTGTTTTGTAAATATATTTTAATTTAGGACATGGCCCAGTCATCAGTGATCCTGAAGCTAAAATTCAAGAATACATTTCTCACAGAAATGCACGGGAACGTCAGATCCTTAATTTTTTTCAGGATAATGCTGGAAAATTATTTACTGAAATGGACCTTTTAAAGATTATTTATAAGGTAATTCAAATTTATTATATGGTTTGTATAGCTCCAAAATTGTAGACAAAATTTCATTACTGTTATATATCATTGGCAAAGTATATAGTGGTACTAAGCTGATTATACACAGTCACAACTCTCTCACTAGAAATCACAACTTCTAATAACCTCATACATCTAGAACACAGCCTTTAATTGGGGAGTAAGAGAAAAAAGGCCTCTGCACACAAAAACAGCTGTCACGAAGCCAGGCACAATAAAACCTGCATATTTTACTTCTTAAAAAAGTCTGGTTGACTTAAGTTAGTTGTATCACATACAATTCTAACAAACAGTCATCAAGTACCCAACCTACAACAGATTAGAGGCTGAAAATTATAAAAGAATCTAATAAAAGCAGAGTTTTTAACAGCATCCAAATGTGACTGTTGGCAGCTTGCTAGTGGAAGGAAGAGTATAAAAGACCAGCATCTTACATACCTTAGTAGTCATGAAAGTATTACTATATTATAGCACTGTAATAATAATTGAAGATGATGATAAATATTATAATGCTGTTTAAGAAAAGATTTGTGTTCATTATATTCTGAGAAGTAAGGGAATAGGTAATGCATTTTAGACAAATTTTCATAAAGAATAGTTTTAATTGTTGATATTTTGATACTTCAAAGTAAACTTCAGTCAAATGGAAGATCTCCTTGTGTGGGACATCTCATTTTCCCCATGATATCAAGTAAATAAGATATTACAGTATCTCACAGTGTTTTTTCCTGAGGAAATCAGTTGTCACAGTCACTCCTTCCTACATAATATAGCTAATCAACCTGTCAAGCTTAACTAAAAGGTACTAGCAAGTAATTGAGAAAAAAACTCTTATCACAAAGAAATTAACTTAATGGATTAAGAGGTAGAAGTATTAAAGACCAAATTAAGTCAGAGAGAGAAAAATTGGGAGCTTACCCCATTACCACCAATGATAATATTTATCAATCAGATTTTAAAGAATGACAATCCATTCAAACTAAGCTAAAGATAAAGGAGGAAGGGAATGTGAATATATCTACAAAAATAAGATTATTTTTAAATGGAATACTTTGGTATGGTTGTTTACAAAAAAACAATAATTAAAACTTCATAGAATAAAGAAGTTGGAAGGGGCTTTCAGAGTCCATCTAGTGAGTCCAGCTCGGTCTATAGCTTAAAAACAGTTGCTTCTACAATATCAGCTGTACTTGAAAACCTTCAGTAAGAGGAACCCCACTACTACTCAGAGCAGTAATTATAATTAAAATTATAATTTTTAAGTTTTTCCTCAGGTAGTGCTAAAAATCTATTCCACTGCAACTTATACCAATCACTTCCTGATTTTATCTGCTAGGGTTAAGTCTATTCCTTCTTCCAACATAAAATACCTGAAGACAGCTATTGTCTACCCCTCTATTTTATTTCTTCTCCAAACTAAATAACTTCAGATCCCTCAGTTAACATCCCTCCATATAGCTTGATCTCTAGTCCCCTCACCACGCTGTCCACCTTCCTCTGAATGTACTCTGACTTGTCAAGGTCTTTCCTAAAATATGGAGCCTAGAAGTGAACACAGTATTATCACCAGGGCAGAGTAGGATAAGACTATCACTTTGTTCAGGGAAACTGCCTTTCAATGCAGCATTAATTTGGGGGCAGCCTCACAGTGAAATTTCATATTGATTTGGTAGTATACCAAAAGAAGAAAAAAAAAACCTCAGACTTTTTTCACAAAAAATATTGCCTAGTCAAGTATACATATACCCAATCTTATATTTGAGTTTAAGAGAATTAATTTGTAATATTTCAAATGTATCCCTATTTCATATGAGAATCAGTTCAGTGTTGCCTGTCAAGATCTTTATCTGGATCTTGACTCAGCTGGGAGCCCAGACTCTCATCACCTACAAATTAGATAAATATACCATCTGTATATTCATCCAAGGCATTGATAAAAATGTTGGGAAAGCTGAGATCTGTATATTCATCCAAGGCATTGATAAAAATGTTGGGAAAGCTCAGATCTGTATATTCATCCAAGGCATTGATAAAAATGTTGGGAAAGCTCAGGTCCTTGGGAAACTGCAGTAGAAACCTCCCACCAAATTAACAATTGCAGATTGACCACTCTTGAGTCCAGTCATTAAACCATCTTCCTAACTGTACTGTCATTGAACATAGCTTTTTTCCATTTTTTTTTCCACAATAGTATAAGAGACTATGCTAAATACTTTGCTGAAATCTAGGTAAACTATACAGCATTCTCCTGATCTAATGCTTACTACAGAGGCTGGTACCTGGTAGGCATTTAATAATTGCTTATTGGTTGACTGGTCTACCAGCTTGGTAACCTCATTAAAAAAGGAAATGAGTCATTCTGGCATGACTTGTTCTTGATGAAGCCATGCTGGCTTTTGGATGATCTGTTCTCTCAAGTGCTTAATTTAGTCATTGGTACTAAATGAAATGTTTAGGGAGATTATTAGTTCCTACACCAATACCACTTTCAGTACAATGCACAAGTTTGTTTGTTTGTTTATTAAGGTGCTTCAAAAGCTAGACAGCAGTAAATCATCATTTAGTCCACTTAATACGTTGCAACTCACTAAAAGCAGCCTCTTGAATCATTTAACATACATCTTAGTGATATATTTGGGAATGCTTTAGGAATTAAAGAAAAAGACTGTCATTTGATCATAAATCAAAATGGCTAAGTGGTGTACTGGTAACAAAGAAATAATGAGGCATACTCTCAGTTACTAAACAGGGACACTGGAGAAATTAATCTTAATATTCAGTTTTTAATATGTATGTATATTTGAAAGCTTTAGCACATGCATAAAATGTAAACCTGAAAAACTTAATATTTAATGTCTTTACTGCTCTTTGTCAATTTGATTAAAAAAGGTAATATACATTTATTATTCAATGGATATAAATAATTTGACTGTGCCCAAACTGCTAACAAATACAGATTCCTCCTATGAATTACACCTTCATAATTTTTCATAATCATTTTTAATTTTTTCAACACAATTTTATTGTGATAAAAATCCAAGGAGAAATCCGTTTTCAACCTACTGAAATTGTGTCATATTAACTAGTATTGAATATATATTGGTATGTTCTTCTTGTAAAGAGTGGAATTTTTTTTATTATAAAAGTATTTATTATAAGGAGACATGCATTTAACTCAATAAATTTTGCTAATAATTTCCACACATCAAAATTCTGAATACTTATTTTTATTATTAGCTCATCTGTTTCATGGGAAAATAATTTTCCCATTAAAATCATTTAAAATATAGACCAACCTTCAGAATAAATGATCTAAAGAGAAATTTACAAACCGTAACAAACATTTCCTTCTACTGTGTACTAAGCACTGTGCTAACAGCCAGAACCCTGCCCACAACTAGCTTATAATACATGTTGGGGATACACATCAACACAAAGAGTTGTCATCAGTAATTTTGCATTAAATGCATTAGAGAGTTACAAAGCAAAGTTCTATTTGAATTTGAGTGATGCATTTAAGTTGGACTTAAATGAAGGGGAAGGAATTCAGCAGATGAATGATAAAAGGAAACATTCTAAGCATTGAAAAAAGCTGGGAGTGTAATGCATGTCTGTTGGGCAGCATATTTTCATTTGCCTGGATTTTACATTTAAAAATAATTACTTTTAGAAATCTTTCTTTTCCTATTATTCACGTGAAACCCCCTTTGTGACAACTACCAAAATGACACATTTTAAAATAATAAAGTTGAAAAATATTTATGCAAAAATATCAAAATACATATCAAAATACTTACTGAAATGAGATGACAAATGTTACAAATAAAATTATTGCACATTTCTGTTTTCATGGCACTGCTTTTTCCTCTGGTTGTACCTATTTGGCCACTTCCATTTCCATGTTGTCTTTCCCATTAACTGTGAGTTCCTTTAGAGCAGAGAATTTTTTTGTTTGTTTGTTGTGCTGTGTTGTGGAGTTTCATTTTTTTCCCCTTTCTTGGTATGCCCTTAGGACATAGTAAGTGCCTAATAAATGTTGGTTGATTGACTGCAAAACTAGATGTTTCAAAGGTAGATTCTCAGTCATAAACATTTAGTTGAAAGGAGCCATAGAGAAGCACATGTGCCCACCACTGCCAAACACACCCTCATTTATCTTAGAGATAAAAGAAACTAGGCCCAAGAAGGTTAAGTGATTTAACCCAGGTCACACAGACTGTCAGAGGAGGTACTTCTCATCCAACACTTTTTTTTGGAGAAAAATGGTCAATTTATAAGATGCAACGTACTTTAATATTCTGACAGTCGGCCACTTTCTCCATTCAGGTCACCCAAAAGGCATTTTTGGTATACATTGAATGGCCAATAATAGCCCCCAACCCAAGCCCTTGTGGCTCTTTGTTTAGGTTCTAATGGCTGAGAATGAGTGTAAATAGCATTTGTTTTCTTTTCTGGCCAGAAACTCTGAGTCTTTCCCTCCAAGATTGATAGTTTTATAACTGTAAATTGTCTCAATTCTTACCTAGCCCTTAGTCATTGAATGGGCATTGCCTCAGACAAACCAAAACCTGGGAAAGACTTTAATTTAGAAAGGCCAGGGTCACCCACTGAATCCTGGGCCATTGCCAGTATTGACTTTTTGTCTTGCCACTGGACTTCAGTTACTCTGACAACTTTTTGCAGCTCTACCTCACTTAAATGCAGTTCACACGCAAGTTAAGACATAATCTTCATGATGTTATTGATCCTCTTAGAGAACAAAGATCGAACAGTGACAATGGTATACATAGTGTTTATATGACAGTACTAGCCTAGGTTGCTGCAAACAGTCACTTATGTCAAGATCATAGGTGATTACCTGATAGATGCAACAACAAAAATAACTTTGTTCAATCTTTTTATTAATAATATCAAGTAAAGGGCAGCTAGGTGGCACAGTAGATAGAGTTCAGGCCTTGTAGTCAGGAGGACCTGAGTTCAAATGCAGCCTCAGACACTTGACACTTCTAGCTGTGTGACCCTGGGCAAGTCACTTAACCCTGATTGCCTCACCAAAAAATAAAAAAATTTTAAAGTATCAAGTAAAACACAAAACAAAGAAGTATACTAGTCATAGATGTATGCCACTGGTAATTAAAGGATGTGTTGAAGAGTCCAGAGGAAGTGGCATTTCCTTATAAATTAGTATCTCCAGATTTTCTTATTTTACTGATGCCATTGTAGTGATTAAGTCAAGACCTAGAACACTGCAGAGCCATAAGCCCCACTCAAGGGGGCATCCTAATAATACATACATGAAAAACCAAGTAGATGAAGAATGCCTATTGTGCAGACTATACTGTGCCTTTGGGTGGACCATGGAGGTACATATATCTTGGACAGACATTGCAGATGAACAGTGATCTGGGCCAAGAATTCTATAAACAAACTAAATTGCAGTGAGAAAACTATGCAGAACTTTGAATGGCCCCAAATTTCTACAGGAAACAAAAGCTCATCTTTTAAGCAATATTCTTCCAGTGATACCATGTGTCCGTGTGAATCATCTCTGAAAAATCTAAATTGCATGTCATCCAAAAGGCAATGGAGAGAAAACTGGACACAAAAAGTGTCATAAAAGATACATAATCAGAAAAGGAGGGTGCTAGTCATGTGTGAAAATCAAAAGTTAAACAATGGATAATCTGAATACTGTTCCAAGTGTTTGTCCTTCACAAAAGACCAGTGACATCACGGGGTCATGTCTTGACTTGTGAATGAATTGGATTTATGTGAGACAGAGCTTCACAGAGTTATCAGCCTCACTCTGTCTTCCAGAGTCACTGAAGTCCAGGGGCAACAAAGGTCCAAATGACTGGGAGATGACCTGGGATGCGGTGAACAACCATGGTGCTTGATGTCTTCCATGTCTGACCAAGCTCTAAGAGTTCTACAACTATTGGAACAAATTGTTCTCATCTGCTTATTCCACTGGGGGCAGTCTTCACATTGCTTGGGGTAGATATTCCCTCTCGACCTGGTTTAGCCCATCTGCCAAGATGGTTTTACTAGAGTGTGGCCACTTCACATGCTACAGCTTATGGGAGTCACAGGTGAGAGCTGGATGACAGGCAGACCCTAAAAAGTGGACGAGCAACCCTGAAAAGGGCTCAGCAAACCCTCCCAACAAAGGTGCTCATCCTCCCAAAACACCCCATACATCCCTGTTCTGGTACTCAGTCTGGAGAAAATGGAGAACTCTTAGACAAGAGTTGTACAGGATAAGAAAGAGTGATTGGGTTGCAATCTGCATGCCTAGAGGAAGTGTTTATACTTAAGAAGATGAATGAAATCACTGATCCATTGAAGTACTGCTGCAAACAAAACAAATCCTACTTTTAGGTTCTCAGTTCCTTTTGAGTTCACCTAAGTGGATAAATTAATTTTTCTCTGTTATTAATGTATTATCTTGCCATTTCCGTAAAATACCAGCAAGTTCTCTTCTGTTCCTCCAATCCCTCTTTGTGGTATGTCTGTATTTGTGAATGTGTTTCTGTGACCCTATGCCTTCTCCCTTTTATCCTATCACCCCTTTCTCTGATTACATTCTTGAGTCACTTTTTTTCTGTAACTTTCCTACTTACAGGGAACACACACCCCCCACCCAACCTCCGAGGGTGTTAATAGGGAAAACATTAAGACTCTCATTTATTCACCTGTGTGCCAGGAATTGTGGTAGATGGTAAGCAAATATATAACACATTCTTTGTCAATGCTCACCAATTACAGTTAGGTGGTTATTAAATATTAGATACTATCAAAAAATTTAAGTGTAAAATTTGAGTCTCGGGTGCTTATTAAGTATAAAAGTATGCAAAGATATTTTCATGTATAGATGGATGTCCTATATGATCAAGACTACTCAAAAACAGTACTTTAGGAGTTGAATATGTCAGCATAAAACAGAAAGCTTAACAATGTGAAATACTTTCATGTTACTACAGTAGCATCTCCAAATAAAACTTTTCTCTATATCACGTTGTTCCTAAGAGGTTTTATAAAATATGCCTAATGGGTTTGCAAAAGTAATATTTTTCTATCACTTTTGTTTCATATTAGAATACTCCTGAGAATTTATATAAAGCAGCCAGTATTAACCTCTCCCTTCATTTGAACAAATTAGAAAAAGATGGAAAACTATGTAAGTATTCTCTAAAAGTGTAATTCTACTCTATTTTTAAAAATTCTGTCAATATTTCCACAGTTCTTTATCACTTGCTGGTGTATAAAAAGTAAAGTGAGTTCACTCAACCCAGTTCTTTCTGAAATGCAACTTTTAACCCTCTGGCCAACCTATTAAATGTCAGAGGCATAGATGGTAGAACTGGCCAGTTGCACAGACCTAGAAAAATCCAGGGGAGGGAGGGAACACAGAGGGAGACTGAGAGTGTGTGTGTGTTTGTCTAGGGGAAACAAAGTCTTACAAAGACTTACTGGTTTTTTGAGGCTCCTAGGCCATGCAGTATACAGAGCACTGGGCCTGGAGTCGGGAACACGAGTTCAAATCCAGACTCAGACACTTACTAGCTGTGTGACCTTTGGCAAGTCACTCTGCCTCAGTTTCCTCAACTGCAAAATAGAAATAATAATAGCACCCAACTCTCAGGGTTGTTATTAGGATCAAATGAGATATTTGCTTAGCACAGTGACTGGCACAAAGTCAGCACTATATAATATTAAGTTGTTATTACTGGTCCTGTTCCATTAGAAGACGAGGTCAGTCCCAGAAGGATAACTAATCTATCCTAGGTCACAGAAGGTATGTTTTCTGAAAATAATTGGGAACAAGCCTTAGTTACCCAGGAAATAGTGAAATGGTTGCTCTAGTAATTTATTTGCTAAAAGTGAAATTAATCTATTAAAACAATTCTGTGATATATATGGAAGTCTCAGTAATCTATGAAAGACTGCTTTCTAAGTACTAATCTATAAAAGATTACTTTGTGACTTTCATGAATTAAAAAGTCTTAAAACACTTTCTAGAGAACTATCAATATTATCTATATCTACAAAATGATGCAAGTTTTCACATGAGGCATAAAACATTATTTTGTAAATAACATATCTTTGTTAGTTTAATAAATTTCTATTCTCTTTGTCTTTTCACAGCAAGCATAATGACTCCTGAAAAGAAATGGAAAGCTAAAATCTAGTTTCATGCTAGTGAATAAAGAATAAATAATCTGAAGCCTTTACTGAAGAAAATGAAAAAGAAACTAGCTACAAATAATTAGCATCATATCTACTCCATTATTAAAAATATAAGAATTTCACAATCTATATTTAGAGTATGCACTGTAATTATAATTCATCTAACTTTTTATTTTCAAGACTTTATAAAAATAGATTACAATGATTTGTGAGTTCTAATTAAAACTTCTGTACTTTAAAATTGATAAAATCAGCTTATTTTAAACAATCTGCTTTGAAAGTTGTCCACATGATCCAGTTGTTGGTAGCCAAAAGTAACAATATATTTTTCCTCAGTTACTCTAAAATAGGATTACATCTTTAATCCTTCCTACTTCTTAAACTCTAATTGTTAACACTTATGTCTGATAGATCTATATGTTATCATGCATTTATCATTTTTATTCTTTTAATAAAAGATTCAAAATAACAGGCCTTTGTCTTCAAAGAACTTATTCAAGATACGTTTCCTGTGTTTGAGGCAGCTAGGTGGTATGGTGGAGAGAGCACTGGGCCTGGAGTCAGAGTCAAATCCAGCCTCAGACACTTACCATCTGTGTGAGCTTTGGCAAGTCACTTAACCTCTGCCTCAGATTCCCCAACTGTGAAACCGGGATAGTAACAGTACCTACCTTTCAGGGTTGTTGTTGGGAGAAAATGAGATAATATTTGTAAAAGCTCAGTGCCTGGCACTAGGAGGCATGATATAAATGCCAGCTATTATAATTATTTACTCTAGGAACGAGATAGGGTATTCACAAATAAATACAGTATGAGGTAGAATATGATAATTACATAACACATGTGTTATTGGAATCCTAATCCCTGACGAGATCTGGGTACAATTTGGGAAGCATCTCTCATATAACACCACTAGTTCATGTCTAAGAATGTCACTATCTGACTCGCATGTACATACAAACATACATGCACACAAAAATTAGCTCATATCCCTACCCCAAGCTTCCCTAGGAATATCATTACATCTCTCTTTTCTCCTCAAAATGACACTGGTCCCCTTTATTTTTCTGAGGAGTTGGGGTTAAGTGACTTTGCCCAGGGTCACACAGCCAGTAAGTGTCTGAGTTCATATTTGAACTCGGGTCCTCCTAACTCCAGGGCCAGTGCCCTCTCCACTGTGCCACTTAGCTCTCCCTTCTGGTCCCCTTTAAGCATTCAAGCTAATGAGACATCACATGTGAAATAGATTTTAACCCAACAAAAACACAAAGTGAGCACCTACCCAAGTTCCCTGACTGTTAGGAAGTCTCTGCAGTGGACAGAGCACCAGCCCTGGAGTCAGGAGGACCTGAGTTCAAATGTGACCTCAGACACTTACTGGCTGTGTGACCCTGGGCAAAGTCACTTACCCTCAATTGCCTTGCAGGAAAAAAAAAGTCTCTCCTCCCTTTTTCCAAAAGGGATCCTCTTCTCTGATGGATTCCAGTTTGCCTCTGAACCTATAGAGTTCATATGACTCACAGTATGAATGAAATAGGGCTGAATTGCTCCTGAGTACACACTTGGTTCCCTGTCAATGTAAGTAAACTCTAGTACCTTGCAAAAGCAAGGTCCGTGGGTTTCTAATCCTCCCTGATATTTGTGGCTCTGCCTTTTTGCTCTTTGGTACATCTTTCCCTGCTGGGCCTCTCTTCCTTGCAAGGACAAGGTCTAAATGTTTGTTTCTTCCTCTTGTGATTATGTTAACCATTTTCTCATCTTTCTAGCACTACCACCATGGTAGAAATGATTCCCTATAGTGACCACATGAATTTTCAGGCCTCTCAGATACTGTACACCCAGCGTCTATATGTCTTATCATGGACCACATGTTCCCACATATCTATAAGCAAATGCTTTCTTGGCATGAATCCAGAGTATGGCTATGAATAATACAGGAAAAGCTAACCTGCGTTATCTACTACAAATGGTATAAGAGAAATTGGGAAGCAGAAGAATCACAAAAAAGTTTCATGAAGAAAACAGCATTTGAGAGAGCTTTAAAGGGTAATCAAGGACTCTTAACTGGTAAAGATTGGGTTGTAGAGCAAATGATTACTCCACAGGGAGGTAGGGTTGTGAACAAAAACACAGAGATAGGAAAATACCAGGTATGTCTACGGAAAATCTACTTTAAAAGCACAAGGTGAATGAAGGGAATAATGACCTAAATTTTTTTTTAGTTTTCTTTCATAACTAAAATGCCAGCACTCTGCTGTAATTACCTCTTATAAAACCAAATTACTCACTAATAATGGAATTTTGGGTTCTCCCTCTACCAGGGTACTAGGTTACTTACTTTTAATTACTATTATATAGTTGCTTTCCATAGAGAAGTTTTGAAATATAACCATCTTGGTTATGTTAAGGTTATCTCTACCAATGACTTTTAGAACCAGATTTTTTTTTCTCAACTACATAGACACAAATAGGTTTTAACAACTAAGAACAAGTCAGTCAATAGCCACAAGTGATTTCTGAAAATCCATCAGTGGTCAAATGGAATCCAGGACCCAATCTGGCCCAGGACTGGAAGGTCCCTACTCCACAGCCAGCACAGAAAAAAGAAGAAAAGAATCATCTTTTGCTTCCTGGATGCTGGGCTCATAACCCTTGAACATACCAAGACTGAAAAGGGGACAAACCAACAGCTTATAGCTATGATAACTTAGAATCACAGAATTTAAGTTGCAAACAACCTCAGCAGCCAGCCAGTCCAAGGCTCCCAAACCTTCCCTCCGGAAGTACAGCAGAGACTGGCACGAAACCTCCAAAATCAGAAAAAAGGCTGGAACAACAACAAACGACAGCAACAGCAACAAAGAATCCCACCACAAAAAGCAAACATGGTGACAGGGACATGCAAGACACAAACAGAACAGAATAACTCCAAAGCATCTACATGTAAAACCTCAAAGAAAAACATAGCTCCTACCACTACCACAATTACTACTACTACTACTTTCCAGAATGGCTGAACCAATCCACCATTTCATCAACAGTGGATCCGTGTGCCTATTTTTCCATAAAACCTTCAATATTTGTAATTTTCTTCCTTTTTTTTTTTGGCCAATTTTGCCAATCTGATGGGTAGGATGTGGAACTTTAGAGCTGCTTTAATTTGCATTTCTCTATTATTGCTTTGGAGTATGTGTTTGTCATATGGCTATTCACAGCTTGGATTCCTTTCTAGGAAAACTAGGTATGCATATCCTTAGACTATCTATCAATAGACTACAACAACTACTACTACTATTACTACTACAAATATTACTACTGCTGCTATACTCTGGAATTTTTTTTTTAAAGAGGAAAAGGATGTACAAAAATGTGCAAAAATAGCTCTTTCGTTGTAGCAAAGAACTAGAAACTAAAGGGTTACCCATCAATTGAGGAATGGCTAAACAAAAAGTTATGGTATATGAATTAATGCTACTGTGCATTAAGAAATAATAATAGCTAACATTTATATAACACTTCTATGTTTTCAAAGAACTTTGCACATGTTAACTCATTTGATCCTCACAACAGCACTGCACCTGCAATAGGTGTCACTATTTTCTTACAAATGAGGAAAATGAGGCAGATAAAGTTTAGGTGACTTCCCCAGGACCACACAACTAATAAGTATCTGAAGCTGGATCTAAATTCAGGTCTTCCTGTCTTCATGAGCAATACTCTACCCAATACAACCTAGCTGCCTATGGCAAGACTTTTCAGGGTTCTTGCTAGCCATTGCACAAATAAGCCAGCACAGGTTACAGACAGGTACACTATAGTTCATCCTTCATGAGTGTGACAAACACCAATAAAAGGTGATGGACATTTGTGTTTCACAATTCCAGAGATCACACACACAGACACAACCACACAATTATATGTTATCTTAGGAAAGATCAGGTAGGTCAAAGCAGTTTTGAGTAAGATTAGGTAGGATGTGTAAACAGTATGTTTTTAGTAAAAGAAAAAGGATGCTTACACTGTTTTTTTTAAAAAGGCCTTTAGCATAGCTCTTCACAACAGAGCAAAGAAAATAGTATCTTCCTTATTAATCAGTTAGTTAATTAACATGTGTTAAGCTTCTACAACATGTTCAAAGTCCTACTAGTTCTTCTTTTGTAACTATAAAGTAACTGAGGGAAGAGAGGTACTGAAGGAGACAATACATTTAGTGTCACACAGAAAAAGAAATATAATAACAGCAAATATAGCACAAAATGGAGTCAGTTGTATTCTCCCCAAAACCCCTAAATGATGAAGGGATAATTTGATCAAAGGGATCAAATGATGAAGGTTTCAGAGAAACCTGGGAAAACTTATATGAACTAATACAAAGTAAAGTGAGTAGAACCAGGAGAACAATTTAGATAATAACAACATTGTAAAAACAACTTTGAGAACCATAAGAAATCTAATCAATACAATGTTCAACCCTGATTCTAGAGGACTAATGATAAGCAATTGGTGTTACTCACCTATCAACAGAGATGTGGACTCAGGGTACAGAATGAGATACATATACACACACATGTATATATGAAAAATGGTGGCGGGGGAGGCAGAGAGCCCAGTTGCACAACAGATCACTCAATGACTTCTTCATTTTCCCATCTAATGTATGAGCAGGTTCCTCTGACAAAAGCAATGCCAACTGGGCCTAATCTTGATAACACATTTCTTTTGTTTGTTTGTTTGTTTTTAGTTTTCAACATTTACTTCGGTAAGATTTTAAGTTCTAAATTTTCTCCCCCTTCCTCCACTTCCCTCTCCCCAAGATGGCATGCAATCTCATATAGGCTATACGTGTACAATCATATTAAATATATTTCTATATTAGTCATGTTGTAAAGTATTAGAACCAATGGGGTTCTAATAACCACAATAGCTTTAATAACCACAAGAAAGAAGAAACAAAAAAGAAAAATGGTATGCTTCAATCTTCGTTCAAACTCCATAGTTCTTTCTCTGGATGAGGATAGCATTTTTTATCAATACATTTCTTAATATCGGGAGTAAAATACTCTCTTACTACATCTAACATTAGCCTCAATGCCTCTGCACAGGTGATCCCCCATGTGTAGAATGTACCCCTTGCTGAACTCTACATTTTAGACTCCTAGCTTTCTTCAAGACACAGCTTGGATGCCACCTCAGGTTGGATGTGACATGTCAGTTCAGGTGCACCTTTCAATAGGCCTTTCTCTCCCCACAAAACACTCATACCCTCTTGTAACTCCTTGGCCTTCTTTTCTAGATTTGTTGTACATACTCCATCTGTCCCAGAGTCTGCAGCTCTATCATTCTAAGCCTGCAGAATTTCCAAGACGGCTGATAGTGTCTGAGCCCAGCCGCCAGTCTGTTGTTGCTTAGACTCAAACAAAATTCAGGAACTTTGCAGAACTCATGCCAAGGAACAGCAATCAGACTTTATA